GAGGTACTGGAAGCCGTCGTAGAGCTTGGTGGTGATGGAGCGCATGCTGCCGTCCACCATCTGCTCGATGAGCAGCTGCAGCTGCTCCTCCGTCATGTTCATGTGGAACCGCTCCTTGAGGTTGCGGATGGTGCTGGAGCCGTGGAAACAGGGCAGCTGCGACCCTGGCGCGGAGAGGGGAGGCCCGGATGAGGCCGGGGCGCCGCGCGGCTCCCGGCCGCCCTTCCGTGGCTGCCCTTACCTTGCTGCATGATCTCCACGATCTGCACCACTTTATCCATGTGCTTGCGCGCGGCGATGAGGCCCTGCAGCATCAGCATCTTGTAGTAGTTGAACATGTCCCCATCCAGGCCGCCCATCACCTGCAAGACAAGGAAGGGACCTGAGCACGGCCCGAGTGACAGAATCATGGAATCATGGAATGCTGAAGGTTGGAAGGGACCTCTAGAGACCATCCAGTCCAACCCCCTGCACACGCAGGGTCACCTAGAGCACGTGGCACAGGGCTGCGGCCAAGCGGGTTTGAAGATCTCCAGCGAAGGAGACTCCACAACCTCTCTGGGCAGCCTGTTCCAGGGCTCTGGCACCCTCACTGTCAAGAAATTTTTCCTTAAGTTCCTATGGAATTTTTGGTGTTTCAGTTTCCAGACATTTCCTCTAGCCCTATCAGTGGCCACCACTGAAAAAGCCGGAGTGTCACCTGCGAGGGGGTTATTGAGGGACTTCCACAGCTCCGAGTGTTCCTCGTCCCAGGAAGCACCGAGAGGCGCCGCTGGCGTCACCCCCGGCTTCCCATCCAACCCCGGCTGGCGCGTCCCCGTGTCACTCACATCCACAAACTCCGTGGTGAGCTTGAAGGCGGACGTCTCGAAGCCCAGATTCCTCGGGGAGCTGGAGAGGATGAACCCGAAATCGATGTGGATGATGTGGCCGTCCGCGTCCAGCAAGATGTTGCCGTTGTGCCTGGGCGGGAGGAACTTTCCGTTAGGCCTCGCAAACTGTCGCGGGGAAGTCGAGCTGGAATCTCCCTGCTCCCGGGATCCCCGCGGGGACAAATCGCAGCCTCCTGGGCACGCGGGGCCTCACCTGTCCTTGACCTGCAGCAGGTAACACACGAGGCAGTAGCCGGCGCAGCTCTGCACAAAGTTCCTCTGGGCGGTCAGGAAGGCTTCGGTCGTGTAGTTGCCGTGTTCCTGCAGGAAATAATCCAGCAGCGAAAGCAGGGATTGCTTCTTCACTTGGTGGATGGACACGGCGTTCACGACCGGCTCAATCATGCCGCTGTCGGCGGAGATGACCAGGATTTTGTATGGCTTGATCCACAGGGGCACCCGCTCCTGCTCCCAGATGGACTAGGGGGAGAAAAGAGGGAATCCCTCAGGGCTTGGGACACCACGGAGGCTCCCTGGGGACGCCAGGGCCTCTCCCGGCCTCACCTGCAGCTGCTTGAGGACCTGGAAGGCCAGCAGCTCCTGCCGGAGGTCGTCCCCGCACTTGACGATGACGGAGAGCAGGCGCCAGGAGGGCAGGTGGCCGTAGGGCGACCCTTCCCTGATCCTCCTGCAACGGGATCGGGAGCACAAGGGAGGGCGGCAGCAAATGAGACAGGTTTTGGGTCACAAATGTGGGGCTAAGAAAGCCCAGGGCTACAGGCCAAGTCCTCAGGCAACCGCAGAGCAGATCCCATCTAAGCCACGAGGCCTCTCAGAAGAGCAGAGGGAAATTAAGCCCGTTCTCTCCTTCAATCCCCAGGTTCTCCATGAAAACCTGCACCCCCAAACTTACCCGGAGAAGCCCAGGGCGCCCTCCCTGTTGCTCAAGGAGAAACTTGGGAGTTGGAAATACAACCCCCAGGCCTGGGACACGGACGAGGTTACCTTGCGACAGGCCAGACTGCTCCGACATGGGACATGGCACTAAATATTGCAGCTGGGGATTTTCCCACCCATCTGCCTCCCTGCTCCCGTGTCCGAAGCCAACATTCCCTCCCACAGGACGGGCAGGGCCCGCGGTCAAGGCCGGTTATTGAACGGATCTTCCCGGGCCCATTCCCGGCCTCTCCAGGGCCCCTTCCAGCCCTACCTCACTTTCTCCTGCCAAGGCTCCTTGAGGGCCACGGCGGACGGGTCCTCGGGATCCCTCCGGAACGCCGTGGGCGTGTGCGCGAGCTGCTCCGAGAGCCGCCGCCTGCAAGACACAATCCCAGAAGGGTTGAGGATGGATCCCTAGGGATCACCTAGTCCAGCCCCTGCTCCAGCAGGGACTCCCAGAGCAGAGGGTCCATCCAGGTGGGTTTGGAAGATCTCCGGAGAAGGAGCCTCCAAAGCCTCCCTGGGCAGCCTGTGCCAGGGCTCTGGCACCCTCACACCAAGGAAGTTCTTCCTCACATGGACATGGAGCTGCCTGGGGTTCAGCTTGTCCCCGTTACCCCTTGTCCTGGCACCGGCCACCACCGAGGAGGTTTGGCCCCGTCTTCCCTGCACTCTCCCTTCAGGTACTTGTTGATCAGACCCATCTCAGGGTCTTCTCTGGGCCCCGCTCGCTCCATCCCCTCCGGCATCTCCGCGGCTCTGGACCGGGATGTCAGGCGGCTCCCGGGGCCGGCGCCGCTCACCTGATGTCTCCGGCCGCGATGAACACGGGCTCCCTGCTCTCCTGGCTGGTGATGCTGTCCACGGAGAACTGGGAGATGTTGTCACAGCTGTTGGTGTGCACCTCGGGCAGCTGCGAGGGGAGAGGCGCGTGAGCCGCGATCCCGCTTCCCAAAGGGAAGCGCCTTCCCGGCTCGAGGAAAAGCGCGGGCGCCGGGAGCATCCTCAGCGGATGGGCAGCGCTCACCTCCACCTGCAGCTCCACGATGTCGTCCACCGACCAGGCCTCGTCGTCGTTGTCGTAGTTGGGGACGGTGCTGAAGCTGCCGGCGCGCTGCTCGTGCGTGATGCCGCACTCGGGCAGGTTCTCGGCCGAGCGCGTGCTCCGGATGCGGTTCTCGGGGATGCGCGCGGGCACATTCGCTGTGTCGAAATTGTCACATTCAAGCACTTCCACGTAGATTAAATAGGGAGCCTGCCGGGGTGGAAAACCAAGCGTCACACAAGCGGCTACAAGAGGCTCCCTGGCTTGGGATCAGGGTGCCCACAGGGAGCAGGGAGCAGCCTCCATCCTTGGAGACATCCCCTGGGTGAGCTGTTGTGGGCTCCCTGTTTGGCAAAAACGGGATTAGGAACTTAAGGAAAAAATCCCTTCCCAGTGAGGGTGCCAGAGCCCTGGAACCGGCTGCCCAGAGACGTTGTGGAGTCTCCTTCTCTGGAGATCTTCAAACCCGCTTGGCCGCAGCCCTGTGCCACGTGCTCTAGGTGACCCTGCGTGTGCAGGGGGCTGCACTGGATGATCCCTAGAGCTCCCTTCCAACCTCAACCATTCCATGATTCTGTGATTATTGACCCGAGGGCATCCGGAGGGTGCCCCGGGGGGCTCTCACCTTGTCCTTGGAGTTGAGCACCACAGCCTGCGTGTGGGGCACACGCACCACGTGGTGGTCGAAGGCGGCCGTGGGCAGCCACACGCGGGCGGGCAGCTTGTGGTTGAGCAGCGACAGCTCCGAGATGAGGCGCTGCGTCTTCTGCTCCTTGGTGGGCAGCGTGGCCAGGCGCTTCCCGATGGCCATGAGCGACTTGATGAACTCGCGCTCCGGAGCCAGCCGCACCGGCTGCAAGGGAAGGGAGGAAAAGGGGGGGGGAAGCGGCACCGCGTCAAACGGGATCGGGAAAACCGGCGCCCTCCGAGAGCACCGGGATAAATCCTGCTTGGAAAAAGCCTCCACTTCCCACACGCAGATGATGCCTTGGGAAGCACCGTTCCCAAACGCCGCCTTCCTCCCGCAGAGCCTCCTCCTCCTCCCCAGTGTCCCCCCTGCTCCATCCAAATCCCTTTTCCAGCTGCTTTTCCAGCCCTGGCGGAGCCCAGCGCTCCTGCAGCCAGCAGAGGGAGCACGGCCCGGCCTCTCCCCCAGCCCCACGCTATATATTTATACGCGTATATATAAATTAAATGGGATCAACGAACAAATCGCAGCTCGATTTTGCCATGGAAGATCATTCCAGCGCGGAATCAAACCTCATGCTGGGAGGGCACATGCACAAAGCGCCGGAGCGTGCGGAAAGGAAGCAGGAAAAGGCGCCGGGGAGGCCCGAAAGGCCCCGCGGCAGCAGAAAAGGGTGGAAAAAAGAGGATACGGATCAGCGGAGCGTCCCCCGCGGGATGAGGAGGGATGGGAATTCATTTGGATCTGTAGTCCACGTCCAAAACCCCTGCAGAACCCACTGCACGTGGTGCAATGGCTGCAAAAAGCACCAAGACCCTCCCCAGGTCGCTCTGCTCTTTCCAGCGCTTCTCCTGCCTCCTTCCAGCTCCTCTAAGGACCGTTCGCTCCCTGGAAAAAAAAAAAGGCGGATTGGGATAAACGGCCCCAAAATAGCCCCGTGCGCCACTCGCTTCAGGGGGAATAACTCCATCCGTTAGGATGTGCTGGGAATTTGGGATGGTGCCCAAGGGGAGAGGCAAGAAATTCCCAGGGTTCAGATGCAATCGCGAGGGCGAGTGGAAAACGTCTCCCTTTTTGGGCCTGGATGGATCTGAGCATCGCAAGGAGAAACCAACCCCGCTTCCCGCGTGGGATTTGGATCTCTCCTTCTCCAAAGCATTTCCTGGGCGCCAGCAGCTCCCTGCTCCGGTCCACGCTGCATTCCGGGTGAAAACTGGTGGTTTTCAGCTGTGGGCCACGTTCTTCCCTCATCCAACCCCCTCAAGGACCATTTTATTGGTGCCAATACGGACTTTTCCTTTCCCCCGCTGACTTCATGGATGGCACCTTGGGAAACAAGGCTCTCCGGTGGGATGCTCCCTAGTTTTACTCCATCCTCCTCTCGTGCTGGACCGCTCCTCACTTCCCGGATGTTGGGAGATCCCTTGGGATGTCGGGAGATGGTTGTGAGCCCAGCGGGTCCCGCTTTGCTCATGCTGCATTAACCCTCCACAAACACGACCAGCCCAAGCTCAGAACCTGCCAGCACTGGGGAAATAACCCGGAATGTCCAAACCTGGGAGAAAAACTGTCCTGTCCAACCCAGAAAGGAAAAATGCACTAAAAAAGCAACCTGGGAAACCAATTCTGCACATGCTGCACCTTGGCAGTGCTTAAAAACGGTGGAATCGGGATTAAAATCGCGATTAAAAATCGGGATTAAAATCACGATTAAAAACGGGGCCTGCAGCAGAGGGGACTTAAGGGGAAGAAGCTCCATGTTCTGGGCATGAAAATATATATATATATATATATATGTACACACACACACACACATGTGGATATGACTCTGCAGTCCACGTATATGCAGGGCATATATCTATATAACTACAGAGTCTGCAGCTTGCGCAAAGGTGCAAAAAGTGTTAAAATTTTGGCATGAAATTGAGGATGCAGAGGGGAGACTTGGGTCTGGGTATCAAAAACCTCTTTACAACCACGAGGATTCAGCAGGCAAAGCCGTTTGCGACGGATGCAGGACACGTTGGGGTAACAAAGTGCATTTTTTGCATTAAATCGCCTTGCATTTTTTGCATTGAATTGCCTTGCTGCCTGTGGATTTGAGCATGGACTACATATGCAACATGGGGAGAAAAATCCGAACCCGCGTGCGCACACGGAGGGAGGAAAAATAAGGACACGAATGAGAAAGATGCTGCTGATTACAAGCGGGGAAAAATAAAAAATGAGGTTCATTTCGAAAGAAAAATGCTCCGAGAGGCAAACATTGGCTTTTTGATTGAAAGACTCAGCTCAACAGAGGGAAAATAAAGATTGGTGGGGGGAAAGAAAAAAAAAAAGCAAATTAAATCCCATCTGGCATAGAACTTTTAGGTCAAAATTCAAGGAAACAGCATTTCCTCTTTCATCCGGACTGACACAACACAAAAGTCAGGGAATTCTCTGACAAAATCCAGCAGCCAAAATCCAGGGTCTCCCCATCTGTGCAGGTGGGTTTGGAATGTGAGGGGCTCTCCGTTCCTGGCTGGTTTTGATGGATGAGGCCAAACCCTGGGGGCGTTTTGGGGGGTTTTGTGGTTTTTGGAGCCCAATCGACCAAGCAGGAATCCCGCAAATCCCTCGGAGCGACTCGGAGGAGGCGACCGGGGCGCATGCGCCGGGCTGCGAAACGCTGGGCAAGCGGCTTGAAGCGAGGCGAAAAAATACCCGTGAAATCCACGAAACGGACACAAAAATCGTACGTTATGGGGCCGGTTTCATGTCAGAGCTGCTCGTGGGGCATTGCCGGGGGTTTAGTGGTGGAGGGCACAGAGGAAATGCTGCTGTGACAGGGCAGGCAGGCAGCCCAGCGCTAGCACGAGACGGGGCCACTTACGGAACAGAAGGACCGCTCGAGACTATCCGTGCTCGAGGAGAGCTCCTGGGAAAGGGACAAGAGGGCTCTTGTGGGTGAGTTGCCTTTCATTTCCCCCTTTTCTTCCTTGTTTTCCCTCTGGAGAAGGCGGGAGGAGGCCGACAGCTCCAGCTTTGCAATGAGCACGGTGGATTTTTCCCCCCGGCTCCGGCTTTGCAATGAGCACGGTGGATTTTTCCCCCCGGCTCCGGCTTTGCAACAAGCGCCGTGGATTTTTTCCCCCTTTTGCTCCCTTTCTGCTCCTCGCTCACGTGGGATGTGGCCCCAAAGCACCGGGATTTCCCGGATCCGATGGATCTCCCCAGTTCCCGACAACTCCTCGGAGCTACCAAACACCCAGCAGGTTCCTGGGCCCATGGGGCTCACAGCAAAGCAACATTTTCTATTATTATACACCCAAAAAGCAAGATGTTTTCTCCCAACTTCCAGCCTTTTAAGTATTTTTCTAGCCCCAGAACACAACTAAAGCTGCAGCTCACCAAATGTTCTGATCATGCCCCAAAACACTTATTTTCTCCCTTATTTTCTCCTCCCAACTTAGCCCTTTTTCCCCCGGCTCAATACAATCACCCCTTCCAAATGGCAACTTCCTTAAAGACTAAAAAAGACCCCCAACAATTCAACTATTTCTATAATGCAGGTGACGAGACTGAATGTGAAGGAGCAGAAAAATATTTTGCAGAAGTGGTTTTGCTCTAAAATCCAGCAAATTCCACCTAAAATAAGCAAAATTTTAGAAGCTCTCCCTCTCAAAGCAACATTTCCTCCACTGTAAAGCAAATCTAGCATTATTATCCAGCGTGATCATTAAATTATCCGTTGGAAACTGAACTGCACAGCGCCTGGGATTACCCAGTAATGAGATTTCCCTCTGCACTATGAAGCTGGAGAAGAGAATGGAGATTAAAGCACTGCCTGGCCATGGACTGGGAGGATAAATCCCATTCCTTCCATATCCCAGGGATAACTTTTTGGGCTGAAGGTGACACCAGACTCTTCCTAGTTGGATAATAAGGTGGTTCCAGGGATCTGGAGGCTGGATGAGCCAATGGGAATCTGGAAATGACCCCTGAGCTGACACGAACGGGGCAAATTCCGAGGGGATGAAAGGTGATGTTGGCACAATCTTTCTGATATTAAACACTAAGCATCATTTTAATAGCTTTTAAACAGATCAAAATGCAAGCAAATGCACTAATGAGAGGCCTGGGCAGCAAGAATAAGGAATAGGAAGAAAGGCTGGCCCGGGATGACAATAATAATACTAATTGCTGGATGGATCAAAGGATTTTGAGGCCCTTAGAGGTTGACAAGGAGCATTTGGTGGGATACAAGGAACACCTGGGAAGGTGGTGGTAAAGGTAGGGAGGGGAGGATATAAGGATCACCTGGGAAGACTGAGGAGAAGGGAGGGAAATCCTGGATGGAGAAGGGGTGATGGGGCCTCTGGGTGGTTGTGCCTGCTTCCCTGTTTTCCCACAAATAGTGCCTGGAAAAGGGACCTGACCTGGATGATAAGAGAAGCTCTAGGAGGTTGTTTGGCCTTGCGGGATGTGAGCCTCAAGCTCGAGAAGGAGGCTGGACAGGACCAATGGGAAACAACATAGACGGTAACGGAGCTCCGAGCTACACGGGATGAGGGAGGATGGGGAAGCTCTGGGGGCTCGGGAATACGTGGGAGGGATGGGGAGGCTCTGGAGGCTTGGGAATATGCGGGATGAGGGCGGCTGGGGAAGCTCTGGAGGCTCAGGAATACGTGGGATGAGGGTGGATGGGAAAGCTTTAGTTCCTGGAAAAAGCAGGAGAGAAGGGAAGATAAAAAGGGAAAACAGGACACTGAGCCTCAGAAGCTCCAGAAGATTGACACTTGGGAATGGAAATGTAGGAATAGGAGTTTAATCATTAGTAAACAAAAAAGGGGAAATGTAGGAATAAGGAATAGGAAGAAAGGTTGGTCTGGGATGACAATAATAATGCTGATTGCTGCATGGATCAAAGGATTTTCTGAGGGTGACCCTTAGAGGTTGACAAGGAACATTTGGTGGGATACAAGCAGCACCTGGGAAGGTGGTGGTAAAGGTAGGGAGGGGAGGATATAAGGATCACCTGGGAAGACTGAGGAGAAGGGAGGGAAATCCTGGATGGAGAAGGGGTGATGGGGCCTCTGGGTGGTTGTGCCTGCTTCCCTGTTTTCCCACATGCAGCCAGTTAATTACTGTGGGGTTTTAGGAAGTGCTGATTAAAAGCCCCAGGCAGCACCTGAAAGACCCACTCCAATTCCCTGTCCCTTTCCCATCTCCGGTTTTGGAGCTGGCGTTGGGAAGCATCCGCGGGCTCCAAAGCGTCGCTCGAGAACAGAGCACACAGGCACCAAAACCACGTTAGTTTGTGGGGATTGAGGGCAGAGTTTCCAAATTCCTCCTGGATTTAGAAACCAACCTGTGTTTAAGTTCTGCATCTGGAAGATGTAAAATCCCCAACTTCTAGAAGAGAAATGGCTGTACATGGAGCAAGAGCAAGGAAAAAAGGCCTGGAAAGATGGGAGGAGAAAGGAAGTCCTTGGCCATGGAGATGTCCAAGGAACCACTTGAATGTGTTTGAGCCCCCTGCAATGGGAATTCCCATCTCCAGGGGCACGAGGAGCATGAGACAAGATCCAGAGGCCCAAACAGAGGATCCTAGCAGCTCCAAGTGGCACTGGTGATGCCAACGCTTAGGGTTTTATGGAAATAACCATCACGGATGAGTGATAACCGGGATAACCCACGGGAGAGGCTTGGAGAAGACCAGGACCGACCTCATCCTGGTGGGACCAACCCGTATGGCCAAGGGGAGCTCCCTTCCCAAATCCAAGACGCTGCCGACAGCGCCTGCCTCTTCCCACAACTCCAGGCTCCAAAGATCGTCCCCTCCTGCCTCTCGGTGCCGTCACCGACGTCACGCGTGACCGTTGACCGGGCGATGCCACCCGCAGCAGGAAGGCGGCGGCGCCGGCGCAACCATGGCGCCGAAAACGAGTCCGGGCTGACGAAGGGGCAGGATCATCCACGGGCGGGCCGGGTTCCTCAACGCTCCGGGTGACAAGGAGCTTTGGGCGTTTAATACTCACGGGCAAAGCTGAAGGGCAAAGTGTATTTACGGCTCCTGGTCGCCGAACCCGCCGCTCCGCGCTCGGAAAACGCCTCCGTGGCGGCTACGTTCACCCCTTATCTCCTTGAGGATCTGCTTGAGAGTTTTATGGCTAAAATTCCTGTTCTTTTTTAGATATAAGGCTGTTTGGCGCAAGTTTTGACTCCGTAAACACATCTGATAAAAATATCTTTGGGAAGCGTTGGAAAGGGCCTATCTCGCCTCATAGCAACCATAGCTCCACAGAAGGATTTTTGCTCTTACTATAAAACCGGAGCGGTATCCAGAGGATATTGAGTATTTTTGGATACTACGGATTGCAATATGATACTATGGGTTGCACTTGGTATCTCAAAGAGGGGAAAAAAAGAAGGAAAAACAGAATGAGGGGATGCAGGGGACGCATGGAAGATGCTCCGGGCTTCATCGGACCGTGGTGCATCCGGCAGCGCTGCCGCGGGATCGACGGCTCCCAGGGCTCCCAGAAAGACAAATGGAGGGGAAACATGCAGGAAAACGCACGGGGAAAAGCAGGAAAATGACCCGGTGAGCAGAGCACCCTTGCCAGCATCACTGTAAGGGCAATTGGAGAGGTAAAAGGCCACGTCTCCACCCTGCCTGGCGAAGGCAGGGCCCAAAGGAGGTTTTGATATGCAAAAGTCCAAGGTCTGCTGGGCAGAAAAGAGGGGAAAAACCCTCTAAAAACCCCCTATTCTCTAAAACTCGCAGCTTCCACATCCAGCAAGCAGTGCAAGCCTGAATTCCCCAAGCCCCCGGTGCAATTAGCAGCTTTCTCATTAAGTTTTTCTCCTGGAGCAGCTTGGCTGAGCGCTGCCCGCTCCGAAGCTTGCAAAGGAAGTGCCCGTGGTTTGTGCCCCTGCTCTCCGGGCCAGAAATGAAGGGTTTTCACCCAATTTAAGGTGCTGCCTGGTGGTGCACGAGCTCCTGCTCCCAGGAGAAACCTCCCTGCAAAAGGCTGCCCTGCTCCTTCCTTGTGGCTGGAAAAGGGCCCCTGGAAAACAGGAGCTTCCCGGGGCTTGACGCGTTGCTGACAAATCCCCTCTTGTGCCTGTGCACAAGTCACTAATGGGTCCCAAAAGGGGTCCATAATGTTTTTATTTGCATTGAGGGGCCTCATCGTGTCGTGCTGCAGGAGGGGAGCCCGTGCCAGGGGCTCCCAAAGGGCCCGGGCACAAAAAGAAGCTGCTTTTTAACAGCTAAACTCACTGTAACCTGATGCTCTGAGCTATCTGCTCCCCGGGGATTGGGTTTTCAGGTGGAAAAATCCATGGGGGAGCAGCCTGGGCCTGTTTCCAGGCCAAAAAAGCAATAAAAACAGCAGGGAGAGGGATGCACCTTGGCTCTGCAGCAGGGAGGGTGGTAAAACACCATCCTAGGAACAACCACGAGGGGAGGACAGGCAAAATCCACCCGGAGGGATGTGAGGATCTGTGTGCCTCTGTGCTGCCTGAAGGGTGATGAAGGCAAAATAGTGAAAAAGAGGGGAGAAAAAGAAGGAAAATGCAATAAATACACCCCTGGCTTCTTTGAATTCTGGATGCATCTGCAGCAGAATATGAAGCAGCTAGTCCATAAAGCAGGGCCAGGCTGCAATGTCACCAAAACGTCACGTTAGCAACACGGGACAGCTGAAGAAATTGAGTATTTTACCCTTGACTGGGTGGCACGTGGCACTTTTCTTTGGAAAAACAAGGAGAAATAGAGCTCAACACTCAACAAATCAGGAATCCCCCCATTGGGGATTGGAAGGGAGCTCCCAGTTAATGGAAATTCAGGGGCCAGGGAAGTTGATGCAGCACCTTGAATGTCTCCATTGCCGGGCACCCAAAGAGCCCGCGCGGCCGCCGGATCAAAATACATTTAACAGCTTGCCAAGAAAAACTATCCTCCGTGCTGCTTCCATCTATAATTTATGTAAAGCTGCATTTTCCACGAGAGCAGCAGCTGCAGCCAGCGGAGCAGGGGGGCCCGGCGCGTCCCGCTCGCTGTCAGACCCATTTAATCTCTGTTTATTTTGGCACCGTATTTTTGCCCCATCATATTTTTATCCCTCTTCCCATGGGAAGAGGGCACCCTGCTCCGGAGCCTCAAATGCAGAGGGACTTTTCCACCTCCGAATCAGCCGCCCTGTTGCTCAATCTGAGCAAGTCAAGACAAGGAAGAAATGGGGTTTTCAGCACCGAGCAGAAAGCTGCAGATTGCAACACCCAGACACCAACGCAGTTGCCCAAATCCAGTGGGAATTCAGCAATTTAGCAATCCGCCCATTTCTCCTAATCCACATTTTTGCCTTATCTGCAAAGCTATCCAGCAACCTCCCTTTCCCCCGGCACCAAGGAAATTTCCCTTCTCCATCTCCTTGGGGAAAGGCAGAGGGATCCCAGAGGGGCTCCGGCCCTGTCTGCAAGCTCCAAGGAGCGGGAATGCCGTGGATGCGGAGGCACAACCGCACGGAACAACGTACAGGGCCAAGCCACGCGGTGACACGGCCGCCTGTGGCTACACCCCTTGGCGTGACCCTCCTCGGTGGGAATTTTGGCTGGGAGACAGAGGAAGCAAAACTTGGAGCCTTTGGAGGAGAAGGAGCATAAAAACTCTGTACCAAAGGAAATGAGATGAGCACAAACCACGCAAGCGCGTCCCGCTGGGCACCCCATCCCAGGCAGGCTGTTTTGGGAGCCCCCCAGCGTTACCTCTTCCTCGCTCTCCACTTTGGGATTGCTGGCCGTGCGCTTCAGGTTGCTGCTCAGGCTGATGCTGACGGTGGCATCCGACTTGGACCGCTGGTGAGTCCTTTTGGAAGGGGACAGCCCCATGTCGGGGGCCGAGCTCAGCGACGGCAGCTCCCTCTTCTTGTGGGCTGGCTTCAACTCGTCCGAGAGGATGAGTTTGCGCAGCTTGGTCCCGCGGGAGTGTCGCTGAGTGGAAATGTGCATGTCCGAGGAGTAGGCGCCCAGCAGCAGCGCGCACTGCAGCGAGAAGTCGATGCTCTGCCGGCAGCGGTGCACGATGTAGGGCTTGATGGCGTCGCCCACGTCCTCGTCCATGTGGATGTACATGTTGAGCAGCTGCGGCAGGTAGAAGTCCACGTCCTCGTTCCTAAAGCAGAACAACCTATTCCCGATGTAAGCCTGCACGCCGGGCTCCTTCGAGTTGTACAAGTATGAAATGGCCATGGAGATATCAAAGAGTTTGGATTCGAAGAGGCGCAGGAGCCAGGACTGCTTCGCCGAGTTATTCTTCTGCCGCCTCCGGGCGACTTTCACCGTGTTGGCCGTGCTCTCGTCCTCCTCCTGGATCCTCGAGGCCGCGTCGTCGTCCAAGCACTTGATCTCACAGGTTTCTCCGGCGTCTCCGTTGGGCAGATCCGCGGCGGCGCGCGGCGGCGCGTCCGAGCCGTCCGAGGAAACGCCGCGCATCAGCTTGACCTTCTCCAGGACCTCCTCGCACGCCTTCTTGGCCACCTCGGGGTCGATGAGCGCCAGCTCGCCGACCCCTTCCGTGATGTGCAAAGAGAGGAGCACAGGAAGGAGTGAGCGTCGCCCCGCAGCCTGGAAAAGCAGGAATTCCCTCCGGAACGGAGCGCAGGGGAGGCCTGGAGCTGAGAGGAGGATTCGTTTTGGTGCAAAAACCCAAGGCAGGGAGGGGACCCGTGCGGCCACCGCGCGCGCCGAGGTCCCCCCGCCACCCGGCCACGCTGCGATCGAGCGGCATCTCGCAGCCATTACACAAAATTTCCACTCGCCCCCCGTTGCCATGGCAATAAATAAATTAAAAAAAATAAGAAGCGAGGGAGCCAAAAAGAGAGACGGAGCGCGAGCTGAATCCCCGGGTTGTTTTCCACAGGAGGCTGCCCGCCCTCCCGACGGGATGGAGGGGTCCTGGGTGCTCCTTCCTCGCTTGAGCATCCCCTGGGCTCAGTTTGACACATTTAAGGCTCTTTTGGCACCAGCATTGACATTAAGACTTCGAAGGTGGAATCTCCCGAGGGTCCCTGGCCACGCGCGCCACTCTGGAGCAAGCCCCAGACCTGCCCCACAACAACCTTCTTTTTGCCTTTTCCCCCCTCAAAGCGCAGATGCTGACACCCAGATTACGCAGCCCTCACCACCAATTAGCACTTAATGACTTTCTTTTTAAACAAAGCAGCTAAATTGGGGATTGAAAACGCGTCCTGCTTTGCCGGCTTGATAGCAAAGCGTAGTCGGGTACCTCCGCATGTACCAAGTGCCAATAAAGAGGGTCGGCACGGAGCAAAATGGTCCTCTAAAAATAAAATAAGGGCCTCTCTCCAATCTGAGCTCCCTGCTGCAGGTTCCCTTCCTCGTGGCCAGCACAGGGCTGCGATGCCCCTCCAAATTTGCAGCAAGATGCCAGCGGGATCATTTAAATACCTTGTTTTATCCTTCCGAGTGGATCCTCGTTTTAGCTGCATCCCGGCGTGCCGGGAGACGCGCGCTCCCCACCCTGCACGTGCACACGCGCTTAAGAAAGAAAGGAGCAGCCTGCAAATTCCGGAGCTAATCCCGGGACAAACTAACGAGGTGCACTTTGGAAAGAGTTTTGAAAGAGCACATTTACTGTGAGAAAACCCCTTTCAATCCCATTTTCTCTGCCGTAAGAGATGGTTATTTACCCAGACCAGGGTCCTTCCTGCAGATGTGGTGGGATCGGAGCGTTTGGGAATTTTAGCTACAATTACTCCCATGTCGCCCCCAGCCGTGCGTGAGCTGGGAATGGGGAGCCGGGATAACCCGCGCCGCATCCTGTCACTCCATGGGGCTAACTGGGCCACACAGAATCCCGGGATAACCCACGCCACATCCTGCCGCTCCACGGGGCTAACTGGGCCACGCAGAATCCCGGGATAACCAGACCGCGGCGCTTCCGCTATCTGGGTCAGCTCAGGTATCAATCACTGCGTGGCACCGCTCCGGGCGCCGGGAATGCTTCCAAGGTCACGGCCGAGCCAGGAGGGATTTCACTCCCCATTCAGACACCACGTTGTTGTTGTTGTTATTATTATTATTATTATTATTATTATTATTATTATTATTATTCTCTTTCTTCATCAGCAATAACAATTCCGCCATCCCGACCTAGCCTGCCAAAACAGGGAGGAAGCTGGAGATGGGAGGAAGAAAATCCACGACGTTTCTTTCCAAACGCTACTGCTCAATAAAAACACAGGTAGGTCCAGAAACGACTGCCAGTTTCTGCAGACCGATTTCCTCTTCTTGTTTTAAAAGCACTTAAGCACTAACTACTAGGTGAAAAAAAAGAAAAAAAAAGATAAAAGCCGGACCAAAGTTCAGCGGTTTGGATTAAAATGAATAGCATCTTTCACTCTGTCTGCACAGCAGTAATACACAACATTTTCTTCTGTGCTTGCCATTCCCTTTGGTACAAATCCCACATGCTTCAAATATTTGTGGTCATTAGATCCCAAAGATCCTGCAAGCACAAGGAAACCGATTTTCCTCCTTGGTGAGTCCTGCTTTGCCCCACAAAATTCCAGGCTCTCCAATTTTTAAATTAACCATGCACCAGCAAAAATAAATAGATAAATAAATAACACGTATGTTCTTTGGAATAATTTGGCAAAAAGGATTTGGAGAGAAACCCACTATGATACTGGGTACAAGGAAGGGCTCTCGATGCCCCAAGACTGTTTTGTCCGATGCACGGAAACGTTTTCAACCTCCTTCTCATGAGGTTGTAGATGAAGGGAGGAAAAAAAAATCCCATTAAACCTCTCTCCCCATAAACACCCATGCGAAGCAGCTACCCAAGGAGCAAGGAAGGAAACCTGACCTCCCAGTTTAGGAAACCCTGGGCGAGTTCCCAGCTCGCCGTGAGGCCTGGGGCAAAACGCTGCAGCTCTTTGAGCTTCTCCATGTCAGCATGGGATCCGCAGAGGCTAATTGTGCCTCCCTTTATCCATTTTGCCCTTTTTCTTCCTTGTCCTGCACACCGGTGTGGATGGAAATCTATTTTTCTACACGAAAACAAGAGTAATAAAACACATGCAAAAGCCCCAAAGGGAGGTAACTTCCCTGGCTGTTCCTCCTCTTCTCCCACCGGCACCCAACTCCTTGGGCTACAGAAGCGAGGAGAGAGTGGCCAGATCACAAATGCCACGAGAAAAATATATTTAACATCGTATTATTCATGCAAACAGCCTCAAAGGCGCAGGGGAGGGCCCCGATCTCCTCCAACCTGCTCCTGCCGCGGGTCAGGGGCGGCTAAACCTCCTTAGCAGCCCTGGGAAAGCCCGGATCCGACCTGCCACCTAAATCAGCTTTGCACAAATTATCTAGATTATTTGGAGGCACCCACGCCTCGAAACGCGGCCGGGCGAGCACAGAGTCCTCGTAGGCAACAAGGGAACCCCTTTGCCGCCTCCTGCATCTCCCTATAATTCCTCCAAATCGTTATATTTTATTTAATCTATCACCACGCGCTATTTGCCGTTTCTTGCGGCTTCAAGGCTCAGCAAAACTCCCCTGTTCCAACTCAGGGATGAGAATCCTATCGGCTGCGCACAGGGAAGCAACAGGGCCTGGAAAACAGGCTCGTCCTCCACCCACAGCTGGAAGGGGCCAAGTTTTTCGCGCTGCGAACGGTGCTTAAATGCAAAATCAAGGGAAGCCCCAGGTAGCACAAGGACCACGACAGGTCCCTGGAGCAGCCCCGGCTCTTTGGAAAAGTCCCAACAGCAAAGGGAGAGCTGGAACAGAAAAAGTCTCGGAAAGAAAAAGTGCCCGACTTGAATAAGGAATAACAGCCCTGGCAAATCACCAAGAAGAGCGCGTGAAGGCTCGTGGAGACATCTGGTCTCTATTACGCCGCGTTACTTTTTGCTTTGCTCAGTGCTGGCGGCCAAATGCATCTTGATCTGCCTCTGAAACAGCCCCTGGAGTTAGGAGAAAACGTAGCAGCAGTGAAGAAAAGATCTCGTTTGTGGCTCAGCATCCCCCTTGCAGGGCGATATTTGTCTTTGAGGGGAAGCTGAGACATGAAGGGACCGTAAGGACTTGGAGCTTTCCAAGCAGCAAGAGAAAGGGCTCCTAAATTTGGAATATGATAAAAAAGAGACACAGCAGAAATGTGGCAGGAGCTGCAAGTTCCACAATAAAAAAGCCCCGAGTCCCGGTCGCTTCTTGGTCCATTGGCTCCCTTGGAAAGAACTGGTCGAACCCCTGCTCCAAAGGGCCACAGCAAACTAGAAAGAGCTAAAAATCCACATTTCCACCCAATTTTGCACTGGGTAACCTCATCCTGGTGCTTCTCCGAGCTCCACCGTAGGTTAAGCGGGTGGTGAGTACAAGTTAGCCGTGGCCTGAACTCCCAACAATCCTGAAACTGGAGTTTTATGGGGAAAAAAGAGAGGTAAACACTGTGGCAAGTTATTAATTTGCCCTAAAACCTCCACATCCTGAAGAACTATTGCTCCATAGCGCACAGACTGAGCACAACACAGAATATTTCCGTTTTTGAAGCGGTTTTCAGGGCAGCGGGACGCGGCCGGGGGGGACGTACCTGGCGCGATCCCACCGGGCTCCGGTGCCGGCGGCCGAGCGGGGGGCTCATCTTGGGGCGCTCCGCGACGATCCGGGTCGGTGCTGCAGGGTGGGAGAAAAAGGGAAGAAGGGGGAAAAAAGGGAAAAAAAAATAAAGGGGGGGGGAGAAAAAGAGGGGAAGGAAAAGAGAGAAAAGGAAGGAAAAAGGGAAGGAAAAAAGAGAAAGGGAAAAAGGGAATAAAGAAGAGGGGAGGAAAGGTGATTTTTTGCACAGAATCAAAATAAAGGGGTAAGGGAGAAGACGGAGCCCGCGCGCC